AAAGTAAACTTGAAATGGATTAAAGACTTGAATGTAAGTCCTGAAACCATAAAACTCTTAGAAGACAACATAGGTAAAGACCTCCTGAATATAAGCATGAGCAACTTCTTCCTGAACCCATCTGCTCGAGAAAGGGAAACAAAAGTAAAAATGAACTCATGGGACTACATCAAACTAAAAAGCTTCTGTACGGCAAAGGACAACATCAACAGAACAAAAAGTCATCCTACAGTATGGGAGAATATATTTGTAAATGACATATCCGACAAAGGGTTAATATCCAAAATATATAAAGAACTTACACGCATCAACATCCAAAAAGCAATTAACCCAATTAACAAATGGGCAGAGGATATGAAGAGACAGTTCTCCAAAGAAGAAATTCAGATGGCCAACAGACACATGAAAAGATGCTCATCATCACTAATCATCAGGGAAATGCAAATCAAAACCACAATGAGGTATCACCTCACACCAGTAAGGATGGCCAGCATCGAAAAGACTAAGAACAACAAATGCTGGTGAGGATGTGGAGAAAGGGGAACCCTCCTACACTGCTGGTAGGAATGTACGCTGGTTCAACCATTGTGGAAAGCAATATGGAGGTTCCTCAAAAAACTAAAAATAGAAATACCATTTGACCCTGGAATCCCACTCCTTGGAATTTACCCAAAGAATGCAACTTCTCAGATTCAAAAAGACATATGCATCCCTATGTTTATCACAGCACTTTTTACAATAGCCAAGATCTGGAAGCAACCTAAGTGTCCATCAGTAGATGAATGGGTAAAGAAGATGTGGTACATATACACAATGGAATACTATTCAGCCATAAGAAAGAAACAAATCCTACCATTTGCAACAACATGGATGGAGCTGGAGGACATTATGATCAGTGAAAGAATCCAGGTGGAGAAAGACAAATGCCAAATGATTTCCCTCATTTGTGGAGTATAACAATGAAGCAAAACTGAAGGAACAAAATGGCAGCAGACTCAGAGACCCCAGGAATGAACTAGTGGTTACCAAAGGGGAGTGGTGTGGGAGGGCGGGTGGGGAGGGAGGGAGAGGGGCATTGAGGGGTATTATGTTTAGTACACATGGTGTGGGGTATCATGGGGAGAACTGTGTATCACAGAGAAGGCATATAGTGGATCTGTGGCCTCTTACTACACTGATGGACAGTGACTGCATTGGGGTATGGGTGGGGTCTTGATAATATGGGTAAATGTAGTAACCACATTGTTTTTTCATGTGAAACCTTCATAAGAGTGCATATCAATCATACCTTAATAAAGAAAATAAAAAATAGAAAAAAATAACAACAAAAAATGAAACTGAAGTAGAGACTGACTGACTAACTTGTGGAAAGTGACAAGCTAACAAGGTGGTGTTAGGAACCACAGGCATTCTGCTCCAAAGCCTAAACTCCTAACCATTACGCTCTACCACTTCTTATGAAATGGAGTAGATCCCTCTCAGCACTGTACTTCCATGATTCTCTTCCTATCTGAGTACTGATTACATCTAGTAAGGTTCATACTTTGCTGATCTATATGGTGTTTTATGAAATGTTTCAGATACATTTTTAAGTTTGATAGGATAAATCATCAATTTCAAAAGTTTGAAATTTTAAGAAAATCTGTCCCCTGAAGAATTAGCAGGGAAACAAGTGAAGGAAACTGGTAAGCAAGTCAAGACCTCTGCAATGTTTTAGGGCCATTCATGCATTTCTTTAGGTAAAACCTATATGACATAATGGTATTTACAGCATATTTTAGAAAATTTCTGATATCTTCTCATAGAAACTTCAGGTAATTGCAACTGTACTGTGGTAAACCAATGGCTGTTATTGTTAATGCAGCAAGCTCAACAGAGCAACTGAAAAAATACACAAAATCAGTAGCATTTGAACTTTTGCTAGGAGGTATTCTACTACAGGAGAAGAGGAAGGAAAACAGAGACTTCAGGAACAAGTCTGTATGAAGGTATGTTTACTTTTCAGTCTTCTGGCGAAGTTATCTAGGGCCTTGTTTCCTATAGCACTAACACGTTTTCTCTGACTGGCGAGAAGAAAGGTATACAGCTGAAACACAATCCTGTTCTCAAATGTGGGGAAGGCGCTTCCTGCTAAGGCACACCAACGTTATGCTCTGCAGAAACGGACGAGGCAGATTCATTTAGGAGGAGCACACTGGCGAACCACACTCAGCTACTGTATGGCCCCCATACGCTTCATGATGACAAATAACTACCCTTTTGGGATGTAGTGGAGATAAAGAGAATTAGCACACTAATTTCCTCAGCTTTAGCTTGGTCTGGCATGCAGCATTCTAACCCAAAGAGCTTTTTGGTTAACTTTGTGCATTTCACCTTTCACACCCTAAGGATAAAGTCATTCGGAAAGCTTCCCATCTTTACGGTACAAGCCCCTCTCCGCAACTTACCTCATCATTCTTCTTGGCGCTGTTTGCTAGTGAAAGGTCTACACGTGTCCTCATCATTTTAAGAAATATAACACCAAGACACGGACATTTCAGGGAGAACTGACTCCAAAAGAGTGAGCTCACCAGTAAGCATGGTCAGTGAACTGGGGGAGTGCAAGGCCATCAATATGTGTGAACTTATTAATCATAATTATTATTTTTTCTAAGAAAAGTTCCTTAGTCAAACCTCTAGGGCATTAGATCAAAGGGTGATACTGCCGCAGCTGGCCTATATTTTCCAGCCAATTGGCCTGGGAAGGAGAATCTAGACAGTGTCCTGGCAACTGTTCAACACAGCAGCAATCCAGGGAAGAGAGGAAAAAGAATTCTTTAGACTGACTTTTAAAAAATTCTTTTTCAACTTCTTTATTTCTCCTTATTTTTAAGGACAGTTTGAGAGTAATGTCAAATCCCTAGGGGATGTCCTAGAGCGGATAGGATTTCTGTAAGAATTATTGACCCTGAGAATTCAGAACATCTTTTATAGATAAAAACAAAATGCTTTAGTTCACAGTACAGTTTTACTTAAAAACTATATAATTATCATAAAAAATATATATCCCAAACCTACTGGCAGAAAATTTGATCAATTTTCTGTTTCCAGTTTGATAAAAGTCCCTCACTGTAAACTTTACCAGGACACTGTACAAAAATCACACCAGATTGGTAATTTATTAATAAAGTCACACAGGAGAAATTTAGTTCATGCCCTGGAAGTTCTTCCAAAAATGTATAAAAAGAAATTATAAAAGTGACTATTAACACACAACAGGGAAAAGAAGTCACAAAACCCAAACCCCACTATGTCAGAAGCATAGCAATACACACAGGAATCATGTGAAAATGAGAAAACAGCAAACAAAACGATTTCAATGAATTACAGAGAAAAAAGGAGTGAGAATGATTGTGTTAAAACAAACAAACAAACAAACAAACAGAAAACATTTCTATAGTTAAGGAAAGCTGTTTCTCACCGTTCTGAACAAAATGGCTGAGCTAAGAGCATCTGATTGGCTATGCCCATATACCCTCCTCCTCATCCTATGGGAGGGAGATGACAAAGGAACAATGCCCCAGAGCAGCATGGGAATGAAAAAGAGCTGGTTAGTATTTGAAAAAAAGACATAAGCATAATGTAGTAGAAGAAAATGGTCTCTAATTTCTTGACTTTTTAAATATTAGATTTTAATTCCTCACACTACCAAAATTAGTAATTAGTTTGTCACTGCACTTCTATGCTTCCTCCTTTTTAAGATGCTGTCTCTATTCCAGGGCTGAATTTGGGTAAAATTATCAAGTTGGAGGCTTTTCTTATTTTTTGCCTTTTCTTTAAACTTTCTCCATTTCTGTTTGCTTCCTACTAGTCCCAGGCACCCAATTCCTTGTATTTATTATCAAAAACTTTCTCAAGGAAAGGATCTAATATTTATTTGATACACACTAGAAAAATTTATTTCCAGGTATCAAGAAGAAAGCAGAGAAAGACAAGCTATTTCTTGGCAGGGGAAGACCACTGACATCAGGAAGCCACTCTCCACTTTGCCAACACTGAAGACTGGTAACTGTTTTCCTTCTAAAATATAAGACTTGCCTCAACTGGCTTAGAAAATGTCACTATACCATGACTATACCTTCTGAATGTTAGAAAAAACTTGACATTTGGATATTATTGCTTCTTTCACTTGCAATGTTTCTTCTAAGACAATGCCCTGGCTATCACTTAAGAGGAGATGGGGGAGTTCCCCTGGACTCTTTAGTCATACGGATGTAATTACTTAACCATTATTATTATTATTATTTTCCCCTCAGCTATATATTTGAAGACTGAGTGTGATGGAGATGCTGAAATCTGATTTTTGGCAATGGGATATGAGGTCATTTGTTTGCTACTCTCCCCCATCCATCATTTTCAAGATCTGGGGAGCGTTCCCTTCTTAGAAAAACTGGAGTTGAATACAGTCCCCTTCAGACTCATCAATGACTCTTTTGCATTAATGAGAAGTTGAAGGGAACAATTTTCCTTGACAATGACATAAGCTTGGGAGATCTACTAAGCAAAGGGAGTGAAGAAACTACATTTCAATCTTCATGTTTAAGAGGTGATGAGCAGAGATTTAAAATTTTTCAATTAAACAATAGTTACCCCTACACTGAGTTGTGCCTCACTGAGCTCACAAGAGTCCTGCTTTTTAAAATAATGCATTATTTCTTTAATAAGAAAAGCAGGACAGTTAGAATTGGTAGATATCTCTGAGAAGATTAAATTTTCTCAACCCAATTCAAGGATTCTTTATTGTCCTCAAATCTTTTGAGTATTTCCTCTTAATACATTCAGAATACATTACTTTTCCATACAGAAACTGAAACTGTGTTTTTTAAAAAAAAGAGTGAAGGAATTTTCAAAAATTGATTTTTTTTAACTAACTTATACTCCCAAATTTGTAACATGCTAGTCCAATATACAGAAAAATGAAAGCATACTGGTTTTTCTAAAACACTCAAGAGCAGTCTTACCTGGTCTGGGGAGGGTTTATGATTGGTCTGACTGGAATGGGAGGATTTGAAGTGGTCATCCTCATAGTTGTCGGCCATTAGCTTCATTCGATTTTGTGTCTAAGAGGAAATGATTGATACAGTTAAATTCGGGTAAAATTTCTGTAATACACTGTAAAGTAATATATACCTTGAGAATGTTTTAGAAAGGATAAAACCAATCCTGTCTGAAATAAAATAGAATTATGGAAGATACTGGGGAAAAAGAAGTTGAGGCACTGCAACAGACTGAACCATGTCCCCCTAAACTCATATTGGAGCCCTAATTCCCAGTAGGACTGTATCTTAAGATGGAGTCTTTAGGAGCTAATTACAATTAAATGAGGTTATAAGGGTGGGGTCCTAACCTAGTACGACTGTGGACTTTTGAGGAAGAGAGAGATCATGCTTTCTCTCTGTCATGTGAGGACACAGTAAGAAGGCACCTTTTGCAAGCCAGGAAGACAGCTTTCACCAGGAAATGAATCAGCTAGCACCTTGGTCTGGACTTCCCAGCCTCCAGAATTGTGAAAAAATGAGTTTCTACTGTTCAGGCCATCCAGTCTATGGTATTTTGTTTAGGCAGTCTGAGCAAACTAAGACCAGCACCTCCAGCAGAGCAAGAATTTTAAGGGAAATGAATAATCTTCCCAAAGTAAGCATTTTATGCAGTGCCTTATTTTTTTTAAAGTAATGGCTGGATTATACTGTACATAGGAGGGCTCTGCAGCTCTATTTTTTCACTTCCTGAGATATAGGACCCATTCTCCATGATACTGTAAGAGCTACTCATCCTTTTTAACAACCATTCCATTTTTTTCTGGATGTTATATAACATACAGACTATAAACTGTGGAAAAAAGTTATCATTATCTATAAATGAAATGATTAAATACCTAGAAAATCCAAGAGAATCAACTGAAAAACTATTAATTGAAAAACTAAATGAGAAACTATTAATTGAAAAATGTATAAAGAAGCTTAGTATGGTGATCAGACAGAAGCTACGTATGTAAAATTCAGCAGCTTTTCTTTATACCATCAATAAACAATCCATGTTTTGAAAATAAGTCAGATTCTGAAATCCTTCCCTCAACCATTAGGAGAGGCTTATTCCATTGCCTTTTCTCCATGTTTGCCAAAAAGAAGGTCTATATTGGTGATTCTGTGTGATTGGTTAACTTATGCCCTGAATAAATGAATTGTGTATAGTATATATAATTTATTTACAAAATGTTGACATTAAAATTAAATATTTTAGAGAAATCACTTTGTAGAGGAAACAATTCATCAAATGCAACAGTATTCACTGAACTAACAGAATACTGTTAAAACCTTGTTTTTAAACCTTTAAAGATAAACTTGTAAAAATGTTCACTGTAGATAATCTGAAAAATAAATATAAAAAAAGAAAAAGAAAAATCACCTGTCCATCTCTAATCAAGTGATAATCATTATTAGATTTAGATGTATCCATTCAGCCTCTTCATTATGAACGTAAAAAGTGCCATGCTCTTCTGACTTTTTCTTTATTTCTATTACCATATTGTATTTAAAAATTATTGTATCTTATATTTTGCTCTCTGGTAGGACATGCGCTTCCCCTTCACCAATTCTGCTTTGTCAAAATTTGATTGAGTATCTGCAACACCTTTTCTTTTTAGATGAATTAAAATTTTTGTCTAGTTCCATAAAAAACTTTATAGAGATTTTTTCCTTAGAATTTTTTCATGTAATGATACCTGATCAAGGGCTTTTGAGCCAAACTGCATGGCTTTGATTTCTAGTTGTGCCCCTAACCAGTTATTTAAACTTGAAGAAGCTACTTAAAATGTTCTGAGCCTCAGTTTCCTGACTGTTAAAATGAGAATAACAATACTTTCTCCCCATAAGACTCTTGTTAGGATTAACTGAATTAATAGTTAATACAAGTATTTAGCAAGGTGTATGGCATAAAATCAACACCCACTAAATTTTAGCTGTCACCAGCATTATGAACTTTTTTCCATGTCATTAAACAGTATTCTAAATTCTAATTTTAACTGGCTGCATAGAGTCAGTTGAAGAGATGTTCAATGAGTCCCATATTGTTGGGCATTGAGGATCTTTACATTTTCACCTAATATATGCACATTTCTAAGCCAGTTCCTCCTTCCAGCATATATAATAATAGCAAAAAAAATACTTATCCAAAAATTGTCTGTAACATCAAATTTCTCTGAGATGAGTTACAGTGACCTTGAAAATATGTACGGTAATCTTTCTTATATCGTGTGGCATTGCATGACAAATCAAAGTCTGCACAGAAGCTCTTGGCAAAGGGGTAAAGAGAGAGGACAGGGCAAAGAGGTGAACCCAGAAAGTGAGCAAAGCATCTGCTCTATTCATTTGGTTAAGAAACCTTCTATGTCAACTTTAACAGGAATGTGCAGCTTAAGTACACTTGGCTAGGTATTTCCATAGAACATGACACACTTAATCTTTAATACCTGATACACAGGGTAAATTAAAGCTTAAAAAAGAAGTACTAATAAAGCACACACAAATCCACTTTCAAGGCAGAATGCATTGCAACTATTCTTAGGAATGAGTATGGAAGCCAAAGGACCTGATCAGAGTGGACACATAAGTCCAAAGATTATTTGATCCATGTAAAGGAATGAAGAAATAGCTGTAAGAACTTAAATCTCTATTTCTAAAAGACATGAAGATTATCAAACTTCAGTGCTCCTAGATCTAGCATCCAGAAATTTGGTGTGAAGTCTGTTGCCTGCATAGTCATGGGGTTGAGCACTAAATTCCTGACAGCTGATATAGCATTAGATAAGATATAGATTATAGAAATGACTCTGCTCTTAAGCTCTCATACTACATTTTTCTTAAGATGAAGCCAACAAGCAAAATGATTAAGTCTTTCATGTTTTACTAACACAAAAGATACTTTATATCCAAATATTTTCCCTCTTGAACCATGCCATGTGTATGTGCAGACAGCTGAAGTCCCTTGGTCCCAGTGAAATAAAGAGTAAGATTATAGGAAGAAAAAAAAAAAAAAGAAAGGAAGAAACTTGGTGAAATAAACTTCCTTAGCTGTAAATGCTTATCTATGCATATAGGTATACAACCCATCCCAGAGAAGTAGTTTACTATTTATCCTGGTAATCTTTTCTTTTAAGACTAAGATGTCAAGGCCCAAACAAGGCATTACAGAAATTATATTTCACAGAAAAATATTTAGTTAACTTAAAAAACAGTGTATGTTAGTTATCTGAACCCAGATACTACAAGAAAATGTTTGAATTCTGATCAGTTATCTGGTTCTTCACTAATCTTTGCTTTTCATTTGTGATGATGCTATTAAACCTACCTAAATAAGTTTTAGAAATAATAATACTTATAAATGTTCTGGGATATTTTAGAAAATATATCATAAAGAAATCTTAACCTTACTAATTCCAATCATAATTGTTTTTAAGAAAGTATTACAATTATTTCTGCACATGTTATTAAACTCTGGAAGTAATTTTATTATAGTGAATCTAATTAAACCTTAATTTGTTACATTGGTATTTGATATACAAAATGAGAAAAGCATAATCTCTGTCAACTCTAATAGGTGGATCAGGTTCAATGTTGTTTATAAATTTAACAAAATCTCAAACACATGGAGGCCAAACAACATGTTTCTGAATAATCAATGGATCACTGAACAAATATAAACAGAAAACAAGCAATACATGGAGACAAATGAAAACAAAAATACAATAGTCAAAAATTTGTGGGATGCTGCAAAAGTGGTTCTAAGAGAAGTACACGGCAATACAGGCTGACCTCAAGAAACAAGAACAATCCCAAATAAACATCTATACTCACAATTAAACTGGGAAATGAATAACTAATTAAACCCAAAGTTAGTAGAATGAGGCACATAATAAAGATCAGAGCAGAAATAAATAAAATGGAGAAGAATAAAACAAAAGAAAAAAGTAAACAAAACTAACAGCTGGTTCTCTGAGAATAGAAATAAAACAGACAACCCCCTAGCCAGACTTATTGAGAAAAAGAGAGGACACAAATAAACAAAATCAGAATTAAAAAGGAATAGTCTGAAAAGAAAGCATTATTAGAGAATTCTATGAGAAATTATATGCCAATAAACTGGACAACCTAGAAGAAATGGGAAAATTCCTAGAAAAGTACCACCTTCCAATACTGACCCAGGAAGAAGCAGAAAATCTGAACAGACCAATTATTAGTAACAAAATTGAACTGGTTATCAAAAAACTCTCAACAAACAAAAGTCCAGTACCAGATGGCTTCACAGATGAATTCTACCAAAAATTTAAAGAGAAGCTAATATCCATCAATCTTAAAGTATTTCAAAAAGTAGAAGAGGAGGGAATACTTCTACACTCATTCTATGAGGCCAGCATCACTCTTAATACCAACACTAGACAAAAACAATACAAAAATAGAAAATTACAGACTAACGTCCCTGACGAACACAGGTACAAAAATCTTTAAAAAAAATTAGTAAATCAAATTAAAAAAATCTATCAAAAGGATCGTCCATCATGACCAAGTGGGATTTATTCCAGGGGTGCAAGGATGGTACAATAGTTGCAAATCAATCAATGTTATACACCACCTTAACAAAAAGGATAAAAACCATTTGATCATCTCAATACATGCTGTAAAAGCCTAAGACAAAATTCAACATCCATTCATGATAAAAACTCTCAACAAAATGCATATAGAGGGTACATACCTCAACATAACCCACAGTCAACATCATACTTAATAGTGAAAGGCTTAAAGCTTTTCCTCTAAGATCGGGAACCTGACGAGGCTGTCCACTCTCACCACTTTTATTCAACATAGAACTGGGGGTCCTAACCACAGCAATTACACAACAAAGAGATGAAAGGCATCCAAATTGGTAAGGAAGAGAAGTTAAACTGTCAGTATTTGCAGAAAACATTTTATATGTTGAAAACCCTAAAGACTCCACCAAAAAACTATTAGAATACTGAATTCAGCAAAGTTGCAGGATACAAAGTTAATACACAGAAATCTGTTAC